CAAAGGTCCACAATACTAAGGCTGGGGAGGAGGTCGAGATCAACTAATGATGATGACAGGCGTTTCTATGATGAGTACCCCACCTTAAAATCAGCTAGACTGTGCATGGGAGAGTAGAGACTGTAGAGGGTGTGCGTCACTGGTTGGTCTGGGATCAACTGATGAACAAAAAAAAAAAAAGACGTGCCGGTATATTCGGCAGCCAAGTGGGGTTCGGCACTACCAGAACGAAATGGCTGGTGGTGCCAGGCTGCCAGCCAAAATGAGGCCTGTACCAGTCCGTATTTTTTTGGCATACAGGGCAATTTTAGACTCGGCATCTATAGCTGAGAAAGGCACTCAGTCTGGTAGTTTAAACCACCAGTACTTGGCCCAGCTATCGATGCCGAGCCTGAAATGCCCCTGCGCGCCAAGTTTTGCCGAAGCGCCAGGGTACCGTTTCAATTTCTCTTTGGCTGACGCTTCCAGCCATTGTGGTTCGGTACCCTGAAGCCCTAAAGGCACCGCATTAACGAGGAAGCACAGCGGCCGATAGCTGAGAAAGGCACTGGTGGTTTAACATTAGGGTAGGACAGGGGGGTCTCTTACCAGTTTCCACCAGGGGGATAGAGGCCTTGCACAAGGGTCATATATATAAAAAAAAAGGTTCGGACAGGGGGGGTAGGGATGCACCAGGGAAATATACGAGAGGAAGGGTGGGTGGAGTCTTCTTAGGGGTTCCAAAAAAAAAAAAAAAAAAAAAAAAAAGGGGCCCAGTGCCCAAGGCTGTGACTATCGAAAAGGAATGCAAAGACGATACCGGGACCCTTACTGGGCTTTGGGGGATTCCCCCCCGCGCCCCCCSCGCCCCCCCCCAACTTCTGACACCGACTCCATCCCGTGGGCAGTGAATCTACCTGGGTTGTGCCTCCCCTCAAGCACTCCTTCTCCCTCCCCCTCTCTTCCTCTTCCTGCTTGCCTACGCACTACGTGCGGGTCTTCATGATTCCCTATTTATACTCATCCACAGTTCACGACTGGTATCTTGCTCCCTCGCGTTGGTCTCTGAGGATCACTGGCTGTCGCCTCCAGTCGAAACATGTCGGGCATCGCCGACGTGGGCTTAGGTCTGGCCCCCGTCTGGGCGATCTGGCCATCTCCTGGTGCTTTTTCGCACTTACGAGCTCCACTCGCTTCATCGGAGCTTTTGTATGAGCGTCATGATTTTTCAATACGTTTGACGGAAATTGACGCTTGGGCAAAGCCTTCAAGAAGATACAGTCGTGCTCTTTGTGCTCTCTCCTGCTTTCCAGTCTTCATTTGATTCCCTTCATCTCTGTCTGTCTTCATCTCCCCCTCCTCTCATTTCTTCCACTTTTCTTTCCCTTCTCCTTCCTGTTCTTTCATTCTCTTCCCTACCCCCCGCCCTTTCATTCTCTTACTTCCTGCTCCCACTCCCTTTCCAGTTTTTCTTCCTCTCTCCCATCTGAGCTCTCTCACGTTGGCCGACTGCTTCCATGGGCTACTACCTGTGTTCTACTTAGGGCGAGATCCCACTGGCAATGACTACTGTAGTAAGTGTCTGAATGTGGACGTGTTTGTGGGTGCAAAAAATTGTGATTGATCTGTTTTTCTGCACCTCTGCGTGGAGCACGTCCAGATTCAGACACTTCTTCCAATCCTCTTTGCCAGTGGGATCTGGCCCTTAATACAATCTGACTGCTGTTGTCTTCAATATTCTTCGCTCTCTGGAATTATTATAAGGTGGTTACAGTTGGTGCATTGGGTGTAAGACTGACTTGCATTTGATTATCTTTTGGATGCGCGATCTCCGAATTTTTGGGAAGTATCGTACGGCAGGCTCACATATGCTATTGCCAAAGTGAACCGCGATGGTGCTAATCGCTGCTCTAGAGGTGCAAGGCGCAATCATTCGTACTGAAATGTGTTTCTCTTCCCTGTCTATCTCACCCCTAAGGCTTCCTGCTTCTGCATGCATTTGAGCTGTGCGATCCTGGCCGCCATGCTCTAGCATCTTCCCTCCCCGATCATCTGATTATCTGAATCACCCCCCTCTCCTACACCCCCTCCTGATCACCTCACTCCTATACCAACCCCACCCCATCTCTAAGACACTCCCCATCTCTGCAGAGCCATCCCCCCACCTCTAAAATCTCGAGGAGAGTGAGTAGCCCAGTATTACCTACAATAACTAAGTGACCCTGCCAGGCAAATCCAAGCCTTAGGGCAGCAACTGCCACGGATCCGATTCCCAAGTGCAACAAATCCCCCAGCATACAAGTCACTAGACTTCTAAACAAAGACATATTAGAGCTTCCCAGGCTCTCCACAGGATTTAGAAGCACATACAAACTAGGTTCACAGGTTCTACAAAGGATTTAGCAGCACATTCAGACTAGGTTCACAGGTTGTACAAAGGGTTTAGCAGAGCACCCTGCTGCGGCTTTGCCCGGAATCCATCCTCGCCTGCGACCCGTTTAGACTGTCTGGTGAAACGGCACCCCGGTAGGCTGGTACATCATGCACGGTGCTTTTCTGCCAAAACGGGTGGGAAACGTACTCAGTCTGGTGGACTAGTGGTTCTTTAATCAGCTCTTCTGCGGTCCGGGACAGAGATTCATTTACCCTTAGAAGGGGAGAACCAGGTGAAGAATCGGCAGACAGAGGGTGAAGGAAGTTTGGACAGTGTTTGGAGAAGTATAGGGCGTAGGCAATAGGACTTGAGGGGGAGGGGGGGGTGGGGGGGGGGGGGGGGGGAGGGGGGGGGGGGTAGGAGGTGGGGGGGAGGGGGGGGTGTGAACTGGGACAATAATGTCAAATCACCAACCATATATTGGATTTGCTCCATAGGCTGGCTGCAGAGAGTACCCAGTGAGCCATAGCCATCGGCAATTTATACCATAAGCTGACACATAAGGGACAATAAACCCTATTTCCAGCAGGTGCATCTGCCCACTGATAGATGGAGCCTTCAAACAGGCAAGTACTTCAGGATGCTGAGGAGGGTGCTTCAATCACCTCCTTACGTGGACCCCCCCCCCCCATGAATCGAAGTTTAACCATGAAAAGAANTCTCTCTCTCTCTCTCTCTCTCTCTCTCTCTCTCTCTCTCTCTCTGTGTGTGTGTGTGTGAGAGAGAGAGAGAGAGAGAGAGAGAGAGAGAGAGAGAGAGAGAGAGAAGCCGACAACCGCAGTCCCAATGCCGAATAGTTGCAGAAGCGGCAAGGGGACCATGGCGAGGAAATCAACCGGTATGCGCTGCGACGCAGCGTCTGAACTACGTCCAAACAAAGGAAACCAGCGTGACGCAAGGACAGAAAGAGACTGTCCAACGGACTCGGAGTTCTTCCGGACATCCGTTAAAATTGTACCGACACCGAGAAGATCAGCATGGCTCCTGCGCAAGTAAGGATGACACGCAGAAATCGAGAAAATGGTCCAAATTCTTTCGGGGGGGAAAAAGTTCAACGTTCAACGGAGTTCTATACCCTCCAGACTCCAGTCGAGAGGTTTTGCCGAGCCAACCGCTCCCCGGTGCTAAAAATAGAGGCAGCGCTTTGGGTTCGATTTCCTCGCCCTACATGTATGTACGCCCGTAGTCGCCTTGACGCTGCATCAACTGTTCGGCATTGCTGTCGATGAACGGCTCTTGTTTCTGCGTTTTTTTTTCTTTTTTTTTTTCTTTTGGGAACATACTCCAATCTATTCGTGGGGAGCAGCACATGCTGGGAACCGGGCCCAGCGTCCCATTCAAGATCATGTTGAGAAGTGCCGCTCTTGTTTCCTCAATGCCTTGCTAGTTATTTCTGCCTTCTTCTTCTTCTCACTGTCACTCGTCGTCGTTCTACACTGAGTGAAGTCGAAGGACCTGGGACTTTTGACCAGGACCTGGGAAGTTTGACCAGGACCCGGGACCTGGGACTTTTGACCAGGACCCGGGACTTTTGACCAGGACCTGGGACTTTTGACCAGGACCTGAGACTTTTGACCAAAAACGGCCCGGTTGTTGTAGAGGCCCTGCTCCAGGCACATGGTTGTCGCTGCATCAGCCAGCCATTGGTTGTCCTGATACAATTGTTCCATTAGTGAGACCGCCTCCCCAGTCCCAACTCATCCTCTCATCTATTCTGGCAGCGCACCCCCAATTCCTTCTTTTTTTTTTTTTTTTTTTTTTTTTTCCCCCCCCCCATTTCCTTTTTTTTTTTTTTTTTTTTTTTACAAAACAACGAAACCCGGGGCCAAGTCCCACTGGTAGCAGAGATGAGTTTCTTTTTTTTTTTCAAAAAAAAGGGGCCCTCAGAGTTGAGTTTCCTCAACGCCTGAATCTGGACGTACGTGTTTGTGGAGATATGCAGCGGCGGAAACTCAATGCCATTTCTGCACGTCTCCACAAACACGACCAGATTCATGCGTTGAGGAAACTCAAAGCTGCTACCAGTGGGACTTGACCCTAAGAGTTATCCCGGCAGCATTAATTAGCCGTTTTAGCTTACGCACCCCATTTCGAAATTGGGACTGGCTAATTCCACAGACTTGCAACCGATACATACTACGAAAAAGTTACAATTACCATTAAAAAAAAAAAAAAAAAAAGTTACAATTAGAAAGCGCGATTGCGCTTTTCCATTTTGCGTTTTGCGTTTTGCGTTTAAGATATGCAAACCGAGCTGTTCAACCGAAGGAACATAATTAAAAAAATGCGGCACTGCCTTCACAAAAAGAAAAAAGAAAAAAAGAAGATGATTGAAAACAAAACAAAACACTGCATCCTCTTGCTGTCTTCTTTGTATAAACAGCAAGTTCTCCTCCTCCTCCTCCTCCTCCTCCTCCTCCTCCTCCCCCTCATCCTCCTCCGTCTAACATTGTTTCCATTTCAGTTCAGCGTCAATAAACTCAACCTTCACGTCCTCCTCCTCCTCCTGGATGATTAAAAAAACAAACACTGCATCCTCTTGCTGTCATCTTTGTATACACAGCAAGTTCTCCTCCTCCTCCTCCTCCTCCGTCTAACATTGTTAGTTCTCCTCCTCCTCCTCCTCCTCCGTCTAACATTGTTTCCATTTCAGTTCAGCGTCAACTATCTCAACCTTCACGTCCCCCACCTCCTCCTCCTCCTCCTCCTCCGCTAGCATTGTTTCCATTCTAGTTCAGCGTCAATTACCTCAACCTTCACGTACCCACTGCTATGGGTGTTGTCCCTGTTTTTGATAGACAGGGTGTTCCTAATGGTGACCCGTTTCTTCAATATCTTCTTATCGGAAGGGGAAGGAGGGGGTTGCTTTACCGACACCTTCCTGCAAGGGGTCCATCTTGCACAAGAGGCACCGAAGAGCAAGGAGTGCGGCTTGTACCCGCTCCTCTTTCCCCCGAGAGTCAGCGATTCGCTCCCCGAACAAGACACGGATGACCCCTCCACCGTGTACTTAGACCGCAGCTCGGCCGACAACGTCTTGTCGAGCTCCATGAACCCCTGGACACTCCAGTGGGACACCAGAAATTGCCAGCGGGCTGGGTACGACACTTCGACGGCGAGAGAGCACTCCTCCTCCTCCTCCTCCTCCTTGACCGTGTCACGTGACACACGTCCAGCATTGGTAACGCTGACCTCGAAGTTCTGAAGCGAGATAGACAGCCCGCCTTTGTCCTCCGTGAGGACCCAACGAGTTAATGACCTGGTTGGGCAACCGGATCCCGACTGCTTCACGCTCTTGATCACAACGTCTGGAGGACTCGCAGCACCTAGAGAATGCGCATGTCGGGATCCCGACTGTCTTCGCCCTTCCACCCTCCGGAAGCTCGAGCTCCCTAACAACAACAACAACATCGCCATCACAATCAGCAGCGCTAAAAGCACGCGACATGCCACGCATGCCCTCATCCTCGCAGATCAAGAAAAGATTCGTCGTTCAGTACCCTGTCAATCCAGCACTATTCACAGCTCTGCACTCGGTGCGTGAATGCGCACGCCTTTTCTCTCTCTCTCTCTCCCTCTCTCTCTCTCTCTCTCTCTCTCTCTCACACACACACTCTCTCGCTCTCTCTCTCTCTCTCTCTCTCTCTCTCTCTCTCTCTCTCTCTCTCTCTGTGTGTGTGTGTGTG